ATTTAATAAAATAGTTTTTACACACACAGGTGTATATATATGTGTGTGTCATAAAAAATGTTGGATTTTATAAAAACAGTTATTTTTGTGAGGTGCAAATATTCGGTTATAAAAAGTTTTGATAATTTTTTCTTTATCTCAACAATATTTTGATTATTACACATCAACTTTTGTGGTTGATGCTACAATTGATGTGTTGTAACACTTTATACTTTGTGATTGGCATTGAATGTTTGTGAGTTCATTTGGAAAATGCCACATTCAGCATGAAATGTTTTAAGGGTTTGTTTGAGGCAATTGCAGTTATCTGTAAAAGTGGCTATAGAATTGTTATTAAAAAATAAATTTTTTGAAACCTTTTTTTGAATTTTCTCTTTTTAATAAAGTCTGACAATTGATTTTTTATAGCTACCACACTAATTGATTTGGTTGTAAAAAATCCTTTTCTCGTCATTGAAATTACCTGAAAGTGGCATGAAAGTTGTTGCCAACATAACTGTAGCACCTATAGGAAGTACAACTTTGAATTAGATCCCCGAATGGACCTTGTGATGTGATCTACCTGATTCTATATACAGGATGAATTTAGTCTTTAAGAAATGCAGTCATATTATGTTTGAGACAGTAATTATTGCTACTTTGTGCATAGAATAACAAAGGGCTTAAGATTCATTGGTTAATGAGAAGTAATATATCATCAACTCCTTGTTCTAATAACTCGTTCGATTTTGACCGTTACTTCTACACAAAGTTTAGGTATTGCTATTCATTGTAATGGATATTGTGCTTTCAGTTCTTCTAAGCCTTATTCTAAGAACCTTTTTACAGCTAAAAGCCCAATGAACCCTTTTAGAAATGGCGTGGATTAACAAACTTAGAAAATATATATCATTATATTTATTTCCTTTCTCTGTTTGACCATTATAAGCCTCTATTAGATAGAGAGAACCCCTTTTGTTCACTAGATTGCTAATTGCCTTGTCCTTTCTCCTGTTATCAAAGAAGCATCACCTGACCCTTGTACCGGTCTGACCTGGTGGCCTATTCATAATATCTAACCATAATTTAAAGATTTTTCAATGATTAAACAGTATTTTGCTATGGAAGTTTGAGTGTAAATGAATAAGAATGATAACACAATAGTAGAGTGGAGGTAATTAAAGTAGTTAAGTGATGTAATAGTGATTAAAATTTGTAAAAATTTAGCAGTTTATTTGTGTCAGCGTTCTTTTGTATTAGCTTGTTGAGTTGTATATGAAATGCTCAAAATGTGTGCACTACTGCTTCATACTCTGGTTCATTTAAGCCTTATGCTTCTAATTTGAGCAAATCACCCTTGAGAACTTGGCCTGACGCAATTTTGAGACGAGGTGTGAGCCTCACAGTTTAAAAATTGCAGAGTCAAAATAAAGTAAAAATTAATATGTTAGCATCATAACTTATAAATATATTAAAAAAAGATGTTTTTAACATCCTAACATAGTAAGAAGTGATAAAATGCGCCTATATCAATTAATAAATTGCGTAAGACATAAAATACCATATAACAACTTGCACAAAATAAAAATATAATATAGACAAACTAAGATAAAATATGAAATGAAAGTAATATTAAATATCAAAATAAAGACATAAGATGAGTTTACATGCTATATTTTTCACCTTTATTTTTTAACATAATAACATTCATAGATCTAAATATGAACATAATAATAATTGAAATGTTTCAACATTCTCATCACTCATGAGATCTTTATTGGAGCCATCTTCATAATGAATAGTTTTCTCTACTTCATCTTGTTCAGTTGAGCTGCTCTCCAATTCTATTTCCTCTTATTTAGTCTCAGCTATCAAGTAATAAAGGATAATACATAGGAAATTAGGATATTAATTAAACTTCAAGTTAATGTTAAATACATAATTTTTTATAAATACATTTTTTTAATCTCTTATTATATTGTGCTAGATGTTTTAGTCCTGTTTTTTTCTCAATCAAATAAATCAAAATTCAGATTTTCTTGGTTGTAACTTAGATGGCGCGACTCCATTGTCATCATATACAAATCAGGTCATATGATAATATATCTTTTCGTAGTAGGGGATCCCTATTATCCAGTTTATTATCCTTCAAGCATTTTTCTTCAAATTTCTATTATTCAATATTTTGTTGTACATAATATATTAAGGAATTCATCCTCAACGTTGTCAGGCATCTTTTTTCTTTTTGTATGAACTTGATTATTTGTGCTCCAATTCTGCTCACATTCAAATGAAGTGTAAGTCCTAGTATTTTAACAGTAAATCATTATAGCTTTGGAGCACCATTACTATTTGATTCATCATTTAATTATATTTGAAAGAAAAATGTATAATTAGAAATTTAGATTTTTGGTGCATAATCTTTATTTTAATGAACACATTAAATGTCAAAAATCACCTAAAGAATTAAATCTTAAAAATCATATAGAATACGCTTTGCAACATTATTTTTGTTTGTTGTGGCCAAAAAAACCGTTATTCCTAAATGGAGCAACCTGTATATCAATAGT